TCCCTTTGGAACCACCCCCGGCCTCCGGGATCTTCGAACAACGGTGTCGCTCACGGCACCCCCAGCCGCTCGGTGTTCATCTTTTTAGCATTTAATGCCGTTTCGTACCCGTCCCCGTTCGCCTCCCAGTTCTCGGAGACCGGGTAGCCCGATTCGGGAAAGCTTCCTTGTTCCCAAAGGAAACCAAGTGCCTACTTCATGGAGGAGCAGCGCCCGCGAGCCTCGCGGGGGACGCTGCATCGCCAAACCCCTCGGCGCCGGCCGCACTTCCCACTCGGAGCATGCGCCGGAGCCCTCCCGTGTCGTACCCGTCCCCGTTCGCCTCCCAGTTCTCGGAGACCGGGTAGCCCGATTCGGGAAAGCTTCCTTGTTCCCAAAGGAAACCAAGTGCCTACTTCATGGAGGAGCAGCGCCCGCGAGCCTCGCGGGGGACGCTGCATCGCCAAACCCCTCGGCGCCGGCCGCACTTCCCACTCGGAGCATGCGCCGGAGCCCTCCCGTGCTGCCCACGGAGGCCACTCTGCCTTCCCGGCTGCCAAAGCTCGTCCGGACACAGGGCGATGAGCACAGTTTTCTCTCCGAAAGGAGGTCCGTGTTGCCCCGGCATGGGCCGCTCTCCCGATCCGGCCTCAACGCATGGGGACCTGCGTCACCAGCACGGGGCTGGGAGGTGTCCCGGGGCCGCCTGGAGCACCGAGGCTCTCCCGGCGGCAGCTGCGAGGCGCACGTATTTATTTATTTTATGAAAAAGAGGGGAAACGCGTCAGGAGTCAGAGCTAAACCCAAAAATCTGAGAGCAGAGACACACGCAGTGGGATTTGGGGCTGGGAAAGCAGCAGAAATCCCGTGCACTTCTTGGGGCTGCAGAACGCAGCACCGGGTTGTCGCCCCTTCCTGGAGACATCCCGGGATCGGGGCAGGGGCTGCTCCGCGCCATGGGGAGGGAAAGACGAATCTCCCCTACTAAGAGAGACGGGGCGTCCCCCCGTGCGCATCCTGCCGCTCGCCAGTGCCGTCCGAGGGCACTTTACTTGACTTATTTAATTAAAAGGAAAGAATTGAGCGGAGCCCAGAGCGTCGCCTGTCTCTCTGTGCCTGTGATGCCTGCGGAAGGGGACAGGGTGGCATCAGGGCCGCGGAACCCTGCTCGGGTTAAGGGGATTGCAAGGGATAATCCCCGTGTCCCCTCTCTCACACGGGATTTCTGCACCAGGAGCGAGAGGGAAACCTGCAGCCCGGGGTCGCTGCCTGTCCCGCTCGCAGCCCGCGCCGGGGGCTGCCGCGCTCGCACACGTGGCGGGATTAAATGGCAGCCTTGTTTTGCTCTCGGTTTTCTCTCTTCCGAAGAGACGGCGCGCCTCAGCAGACCGCATTTTTTTGGTGCCGGTCCCATATTTATCCTGTAATTGCACCTCCGAGCAGAGGCCGCCTGTCTGGGCGACTGTTGTTTTTTAAGGACACTGCCCCATTATGCGCTGCCGTGCGGGGCAGCGCTTCCCCTTCCGCTCCTGGGAAGAAGAACCCCCCTTTTTCCCCCTATCCAAAGGAAATGCCGCCCCCCCAAGGTACAAAGCTCAGTTCAGGCAACACGTCTCCCCTCCAGGATTTTCCTGAATCCCTTTCCCAGAGCAGGGGGGGATCTGCAGCCCGTTTACGAGCTGGCCCGCGCCCAGGCGCTGCCTGGGGATGCACATGGTAAGTTTAGCCCGGCCGACACCAACGGGGCGATTTTGGTGCTGCGGTTTGCAGGAAGCAAGGAAAAACGAGGCTTTTTGTGTGTGCGGGGGGAGGGAGAAAGAATAAATACCAATAGCAAAAAAAAAAAAAGGCTTCGTTGTTTAAAAGTATGCTTTATTTACAAAGCAAAAGGAAACAGTGGTGTGGGTGAAGAGAAGCCAGGAAGCGCTCCGAATTGGGTGTATTTTCCAACGCGAGGATGAAGGAACCTGGCTGGAAGGGAGGCAGCTCCCTGGCATTTCCCGAGTGCTCCACAGAGGCGGCTTTTACCTCTGCCGCTTGCTCTGGGTTCCGGCGTTGCCACCGGCGCTGCCGTTCTTGCCGGAGCGTCTCGGAGGCGCCGCTGCAGCGGATCATCCGGAGCAGCTGAGCGTGTGCCCCGGGCTACCTGAGTGCCTGTGGAGGGCACAGAGAGGCCCGTGTCCCTGCTATATTTATCCATGGCCCTTGGGGCTATATTTATCTGGAATGGCACCGGAGCTGAGCGCCTCAGGGACAATTCCCGTGTGGGGAGTCGCCACGCGGCGCTGGAATGGAGATTCCCGGGCCTTCCCAGAGGAGCCACCGCAGCAAGGTGGGGGCCCTGAGGCAGGCAGCACCGGCAG